TGGAGGGCTCACAGTGCGGGCTCACGAAACCAGTACCCGCTCACCGGAAGGGTGATGGATATGGCGGAGTGCACCAGGGAACGGGGACCACTGTAATATTTGATGAACGGGAACTATGCCAAACATTAGCTCACTTGCTGCTCTCAACAACTGTTAAGATATTGATATTTCTTTTTCACCGATAAGAAAACTGAGACTCAAGAAGGTGGTGGCAAAGGTAGTGACCCCAGGGAGCACCTGGGCATCTATCCAGAGTTGCAGGAGGTGATGAGTGTGCCCCAGGCAGGAAACTCAGAGCAGAGAGTTATGAGTGATCCCGCCACATTTCTGCCCTTTGATGCCTCCCACTAGCCAGGAATCCATGCTTCTCTCCCCTCAGCACCTGCCCAGGAAGTCCTGGGCCTTTGGGGGGGAGCACGGAGAAGCTAGTGGCAGGACTGTGAGACCAGCAATAGCTTACTTTTGCACTACTATGTTGTTCAGTTTTGAAGCCCAGCAATGAGCCCTGGAAGTTGTCAGGTAATAACAACAGGAACATCAGGGACAGGAGCTAACTTTTATTACAGTTCATTATGTGCTAATGACAGTCTAAGCACTTTGCTTGGCTTGTCTCCTTAAACAACCCCAAAGGCCAGGATACTATTACTTATCTCCAGTTCACAGAAGAGAAAGGCACGGAGAGGTCAGGCAATTTGCTCAAGGTCCCTCAGATCTGACTGGCATTTTTTGGGTAGGGAAGGTTCATTACCATAGAATATACAGTGAAATTCATCCGTCTTAGTGCACAGTTCTGTGAGTTTGGAAAAACGCTCAGAGAGGTGTAATTACTGCCATAACCAAGAAACAGAAGAGTTCTATCACTCCTCAAAAACAGGCCTGACTTCTGCCCTCCACTGCCTCGTGGGCAGCATTGGCCAGATTTTTACAAATGACAAGATGAGGAGGGGAGAGGTTGTGGTGTTTGCCTAAGATCGCTCAGCCGGTAAATGACAGATCCCAGATTCAAGCCTTCATCTTGGGTCTGCGGGGCCAGCTGCCTGCTCAGTGCAGATTCCTGAACCTACAGAGCCCCCAACTTGAGGTGATTTGGGGTGTGTAGGAGGGAGAGCCCTTTGCTGTAAGATGGAGCTTCAGAAAACCCCTCACAGCTCACTGCCTGCCCCCCTGTTTAACTAAATACCCATCCTTCTAGGGCAGCTCAGGAACAAAGAGGGGCCAGATTCTGCAAAGGCCTAAGCCACAAATAAAGTGAGGGGCAGCTCTGAGGCACAAGGAGCAGGGGAGAGTTGGCCAGGGTCCGAGTCCAGACCAGAGTGCCCAGTCCCCAGAGCCTCACCCACCACCAGTCTGGTTAATGAGTTACTGTCCTAGTTAATTCTCCCACACGTAGGGGCTCAGCTCGAACCTTTCTGAGTTCCTCAGGTCCCTGGCTGCATGAATTAGCATAGATTATCTGGCTTCCAGAGCTTCTGCGTGGCCCAAGCCCGTTTCTCTCTCTTGCGGGCCTGAGCGAGACTTGGGGCTGGCAGCACTCGGGGCAGAGGAAACCGACCCTGGCGATCCCTCACCCTTGCCCACCTGCCAGCCACAAGGGACCCGGAGCCAACCTCCAGGCGCTTTGCAAGAGGCGGATGGGCTGCAGACGATCTGGCAGGAAGGGAGACAAGGCTCTGAGCAATCTGGGCCCTTTGCCCCGGCCAGACTTTCCGGCCTCTGGCAGGAAGAGGAGAGGATCTGGGCTCCAGACTGTTGCTCACCCCCTTGGGCACTCTGGACACTCCCAGCCAAAGGTAGGAAAGGATTTAAGGGCGTACCAACAACACTTTAGCGCCCAGCCTCTGACTTTTAAAAAAGGTTGAAATCCCTTACGTTTTAGACACCATGGCGGGCTTCACTCCACCTCCCAGACACTAACTGGATCTCCTTTACCCTCAAGGTCATCTGCTCTCATGCCCCCGGGGCAAGATCACTCATACTGGGAAATAAATAGTCATTCCCCACCCTACAGCCAGGGCAGGGCTTCTAGTACCCCTAGTTTTGACCCTCCATCCTTCCTGGAGAAGCCTTTCAAGAAGAACCTTTTCCTCTGGTTCCAGGATCCATGATCTAAGCCCACTTAAATTGGGTGCTTCTTTTTGGCTTTGGAAAGGAAGGTCTGACCTCCACCTCCTCCCCAGGCTTGCCCCAACCCCCTTACCAGGTGGCCTCAGGTTCCCTGCCAGCCTGGGCACCATGGGGCTTGTGTCCCTACAGCTTAATGGAGGGAGGTATTTCTGAACAGGAGTCAGTATTTCTGGAAGTCAGCGGTTCAGGCCACTGGGAGGTACATCTCTAAAGGTACCCCACCACAAGAGGCTGGACTAAACACCCTGCATCCTTAGGCCTGGAAGAAAAGATGGGGGGAGGGGGGAATGCTGCAAAGCAAGACCACAAGACCCTGGGAAGGGTGAAAACCCAGCCACCACCCAAGCCCAGAGCTGGCGTCAGAGGTCTGAAGCTTGAGACAGGGTCAGGTTTCTCAGGGCATGACGGCAAAGCCAAGGCCCACACCTGTCTTGTGTGTGAATGTGTATAGGTGTGCACGCTCTGGAAAAGTTAAGGGGGGCGGTGTGCAGCTCTGATGATCTCTGTTAGCTAGGGTCAGGTGCCCAGACACCCCCAGAAAACACATTTCTAACCTTTCTTGCCTGGAGGGTTTTCCTAAAGGGTTTTTCCTCCCCACCCCCAAACAAATTATGCCTGGAATAAAGAAGTTGAGAAATTGATGTGAACAGAAAAATACATCAGATGAAACCAGAGAAGGTCAGGGGAGACCCCCAGGGCAAGAAGGTGGGCAGTTGGGCAAGCAGGGGCGTGTGTCCAAAGACCCAAACCTTCCACTGATGAAGCTAGTGGGGGAAGCAGTCTGGATCTCAGACTTCGCTCTTCTCCCCCCTCCCAATCGACTTTTCTCGAGTCTCACGGCAACCTAGTCACCAAACACAGGCATTTCTTCCTCCTTAAGAGAAATGGCATGGACCTCTAAGTAATAGATTTAAAGGATGGCAGATTTTTTCCCTCATTAATTGTAAACGTGCAAAATACCTGCTGGTACTTCACTTTAGAAGAATGCAATTGGCAAGAAGAAAAAAAAAGGAAAAAAGAAGCGGCTGATGAATAGATAATAGATCTTTAACCACCAATAAACAGAGAGCAGCGCCAGCAGCCTGGGGGACGTGATCATAATTATGCTGCTGCGAGAGCCAATAGGGACGAGGGAACTCGGCCCTAAAATCATCCCAAAACCGAAGGCGAGCTCGAAAATGCGGACACGGCCTGGGACCGGAGACGCGATCAGCAATCCCTAGTTGCAAGCCTTGCACAGCAGCCCGCCCCTGGGACGACAGATGGCGGAATAATAATAGAAATAATAATAATAAAACAACAACAACAGCAATAATAATAATAATAATAATAATAAAATTAACGCAAGTCTTAAGGACAGTGTAACGGTAATAGGAACACCACGTCTACCTTTCCCCTGACCTTGGACACCTCTTGTCCCAGATTCTACCCTTAGGAACAGTTTGGGGGAAGGAGGTGAGCGCCCTCCCAGAGAGAAAAAGCCCGGAGCCTGTGGGTCTGGTGGGAAGCCCTTGGCCCGGGCAGGGTCGTTTACTCGTGCCTCAATTTGCAAACGAACAAACTGGGCCAAGAATCGCGAATGCAGCAACCCTGGGACCTCGACGCTACGCGTGGTTGGATGACCCCCCACTCCCACCCCCAAACTCCAGCCCAGGCTCCATCCTCACCTGGGAAACCGCCCGGAGTTCTGCCGGGGGGGTGGGGACTGATGAAACCGAGCGGCTCCGTTAGCCCTCGCCCGGAATCTACTTACCCTCGCCGTGCTCCGGGGGCGATCCCAGCTTCCCGGACGCAGGGCCACGGGGGGCAGCGGCGGCCGAGAGCTAGGCGCGAGGGATCTGCGCGTCCGTCTGTCCGTCTGTCCCTCCAGCTCGGGATGCGGGGGGCCGCAGCTGAGGCGGCGCGGGCCGGGGACTCTGCAGGGACCGGGGTGCCCCGGAGGGAGTGGTGGTGGTGAAGGAGGAGGCGGTGGCAGAGGGGGAGGAGGTGGGGAAAGAGGAGGAGGAAGAAGAGGAGGAGGAGGAGAAGAAGGAGGAAGAGGAGGAGGAGGAGGAAGAGGAGGAGGAAGAAGAGGAGGAGGAGGAGAAGGAGGAGGAAAGGAGGCCGAAGGAAGAGGAGGAGGAGAAGCCGCGGCGGGCTACGCGGGAGCGAAGGAGCTAGGAGCGCGGGGCGAAGGCGCGGCGAGGCCAGCGGCCCGGCGGGCGCAGGAGGCTCGGCCGAGGCCGCGGCGCCGACTCCGTTCCACACTCGGCCGGGATCCAGGCCTCCGGGTTCCCAGGCGCTCGCCTCCCTCTGACGCACTTTAAAGAGTCTCCCCCCTTCCACCTCAGGGCGAGTAATAGCGACCAATCATCAAGCCATTTACCAGGCTTCGGAGGAAGCTGTTTATGTGATCCCCGCACTAATTAGGCTCATGAACTAACAAATCGTTTGCACAACTTGTGAAGAAGCGAACACTTCCATGGATTGTCCTTGGACTTAGGGCGCCCTGCCCGCCTTTTGCAGAGGAGAGAAAACTTTTTTTTGCCTCCCCCGAGAAACTCCCCCCCCCC